ATTCACGCCGCCCATGTGCCTGTTGTAATTAGCAATCGTTTTTGGTGCAGAGACGTCCATGAAACCCGAGATATTTTTATCCCAGCGTTTTACAAAAACTGTGTCGTCTGCAGAAGTGAAATTAGATGCGACTAGCATGGACTTGTTGTCCATCCATTTGATGACTACGACATCGTCACAGACGAACTACTGTGATTCACCGCGCTGCATTCTGCGATCGGGTTTAAAATCGATGTTCTTTCGCTCTGGTAATCGGTTCATCATTAGCGTCGCTGTGCCGTGCAGGCCAATGGTGTTCAACTTTTCAAGCAAGGGTATCGACGAGAAGTAGCGGTCAAAATAGATACAGCTCCCTCTTGGAATTGACTTGGAGAGATGCAAGATTATCGACGCTCCAACCCCCAAAGTTCTGTCCCCGAACGGAGTGTTAGCACCTCTGTAGACTTCGAAATCTATCATGAGACCTTCGTGAGTTATGGCCACGAACATTTTTAAGCCTTGGGGTCGAGGCTTACTTTTAATCACCTGTCGCAGCCCACGTGAACAAACACCGCTGAAAGGAAGCATTTGTTCGTCGATGGAAAAAAATCCCGGCTGTCTTTCTATTCGGTCACAAGCCTGTTTGACCCAGTTGAGTATTGGTTGGACTTTCCAAAGTGTGTTGCTGTCACCTATTGGAGCTGTGTCACTATCGACGACATGCAATGCTGAACGCAGGGTCTTGAATCTTTCTCTGGCCATGATGGTGGCGAACACCATGTCTAAGCGCATCCCATCTCGCCAATACATGTAAAGCCGTGGGTATGGGATGACGCCCATGATCAAATGAAGTTCAATCAGCTTTTTTAGTTCAATTGGGTTGGTATTTAGGATCCGGCTTGTGCGACGCATGTAGTAGTTGTTGGTACATACCGCAGCTTGATCAAAAAACTCATCATCGAAGTAGTCATTGAAATATTCCATGGGTCTGACAGTATCTGGACGCATTCGTGGTAGATAGTCATGTTGTTTTTGATTGAATGGTAACTGTCTCCAAATTCTTCTTCTACCTTCGGAACGGTTTTGGGCCACATTTCTAGGACGACGTGGCGTAGGTATTGGGGATGACGAAATCTGACTAGCAGCAGGGTTTGACGGCCTTTGGAACGGCAATTCTTCATCATAATCTAAACCTTCTATCTCTGAATCGTTACCATCTCCAAGCAGATGTAACACAAAATCGCTTGTATGCTCCACCCCTGCCAAAAATAAAAATAATTGCAAATAAATTCAAGAAATATAGTCATTACCTAAAACCGTCTTAAGTGGAGATAGGCCTGAACGACACGATCGTGACTATTTGGTTTCCAGATGTAATTTTGCTTGGAAAATCGTACGTCTCCATGATAAAAATGAGTAAACAAAGATAACAGCTATAAAATAACAATAACATCTTAATGTTTTTGTTAAAATTTACACAAAAAAACATTACTTACGATCACCGCCTCCGCCAACAAAAAAACGCTGCCATCTCTGTCACCTCACTGATGCCAACTGACCAGTAGAACGCGCGAAAATTATTATTTACTTAGACGCACGATTCGTGTAGGATCGTGTGGTGGCGGTCTCGAGCTACAAAGTTTATTTGGTGCGGCGCGGGAATTTAAAAAATAATTTTGTACTATCGTTTCTGACAGGCCTGAAAGGGGTATACATTGCATAAAATAAAAGGTAAATTTGTATTCATTTAAGTTAGAAATGACTTTAATCATTGTGACTCAGCTGAATTTTATGCAAATTAAATCTTATATTTTCAGCGCTAAGCAGCTTTGTTTGCGGCCAGCAGATTTCATTCAAAACAGAATAATAACCGTTTCTGGAGTTTTCATATAAAAGTCGTTGGAGCTATAAAGAGCGATTTTGTTTTTCTTTCGAAGAAAACTCGCAATCATTCTGTAAAACAATTAGACAACTTTTTAATTGTTTTGTAGAGTGAGGTTTTTGTTTTGTTAAGCTGTCTTACGTAAATTTTACTTTCACGTTTTAACCGATGACACAAAAATGGTGTTATTAGAAATTTATACCGCTTTAACTCAACTTCAATGCTCAAAAGATTGGGGCCAGATATCTTTAAATTCTACAGGGACCATTCAGAAAAAATCCTGTAGCCGTTAATCTTTTAAAGAAAAAAATTTACATTCTTGCGAAAAATTGTTTAAGATTCAATTCTCATTCATAGAAATTGCCAGTAGCCAAGGACTAGACTTATATACGGAACTTTCACAACTTCGTTCGCCAAAACTTCAGAGTTTGCCAATTTGAAAAGTTTTCCTCGCTTGATTTAAAGGTCATATAACTTGCGCCGTTTGAACTGAGAAACGCCCCTTCAATTCTGTTACTAAAAGCCTCCATACATTTTCCCCTAAAACACATGATATATACACCTTTAGGTGCTTTTGTGAGACGTAGAGAAAGTTATGGAATAAGGGGAATACTACAAAAGTATAAAACTAAAAAAAAATAGAATAAAACGTAGACATAGCGTGAAGATTTTCCGTTTTGTTTTAGGTATAAAAATCTACAGATACGGGATTGTCGGGGTATCCAGCGGCAAGATGACGACGAGACGAGAGGACGACGGCGCAGGAATTGCGGGACGAACCCGGTCCCGTATCCAGTAGTCGGTGAGGTCAGGCTGTAATGATATGATGACGGTAAAAATCTGTAAATATTTTTAGCAGCAGTAGAACTCCTTGCGAAAGAGTTCGTCCAGGGAAGTACTGCCTAACCTAACCTAACCTTACCTATTTCTGCCGCCAAGCGGTAATGTGAGCATTACAGCGTTCCGGTTTGAAAGAGTAAGGGTGGTGAAAAGGGTGGTAAAAAGGGTGGTGGGCACACGGGACTTTTCAACTTATGTCTCGGAGTGACGGGCGCAGTGGCAGAGATTCAAAGATCTTTGCGATTTAAAGCTCGGGAGTGGCACTGCAACTGTTATGGACAGGCGTGTCGCTTACCACCAGATGCACGACTTGTTCGCACCATCACTTGGTATTATATATATAAAAATAACCTGTTGAAAAAAAAATGATTGGTACATTTTAAAGGCACATTCAAATTTATAGGCGTAATGATCACAATCACATTATAGGAGATTGTAACCACGTTGAGGCAACAGACGCTGGTTCCTGTCCTATCTGATCGAAGGAATATTTCTTTGTGTTTGTTTGATATTTGTATCAATAATAAGAGGATATTCTGTTGTCTTACCAACTTTTTTAGGTTTAATCGCCTAGGCTATTTATTCCTCTATTATGTGCACTGAAGGGTAAATGTCATCTAACTTCCAACTTGAAGCTTAACATGACTGAAGTTACAGAAACAGATAAAGATCTGATTTGTATCTATTGCGTATACACTCTTGGGTTAATGTTGAGCTCTACTTTCTAGTCAAACTTGATGTTTTAAGTTTAAAGACATCCTATCATTCATTTCAAGAAGTGATAAAATTGATAATGTGCGAAATAATATAGTAATTAGTAATCTTGATTTAAAATTAAAATGTAGTTCAAGACTGTGTACAAAGACGTTGAACAGTAATCTGTCCAGCCTAGAGCTGACTGTTTTCAAAATTTTAGGTTAACAAAAAGTTATAAATCACGTAATTACATGTCTACAATATAAATTTAGTCAAAGGGGTTAAAGCCCAATGCCCCATCACGACAGGCTTTATTCCGCCTACTCAGCCTTATTTAATTATACCCTGATGACCTTATCACGGCCTTCCTGTGACCTCTGTTTTGTTTTACTCTGTTATCAATTGACTTGAAAAATTTATGCTTGGCGTTGTTACATTTTTAAATAGGTCTAAGAGCGGTTTTACATGGCGAATTTTAGCAGCGATGCAAACGCGATGCAATCGCTAATCGTCTACTTTTGCACACGCGCGCAGTTTTAAGTAGCGAACGCGACGCAAGTGCGCGACTGCATCAATAGAAATGCGCGATTGCATCGCTACACACGAGATTTATAGGCGATTGCATCGATGCAATCGCGCGTTTGTATCGGGATAGTCGCGTGTTTGAAACGATGCAATCGCATATAAAATCGGAAGTGTAGCGAAGCAATCGCGCGTTTCACGAACACGCGTTTGCATCACAGCTAAAAGAAACCGTGTGTAACCACTCTTAAAATGTCTTAAAAGTTATTTCATTATTAATGTCTGATCTTTGTTGTTATTAAGAAAAAGTATCAGTTTTTATAGCCCAGATTATAGTCTGTGAAAATGTTTACTCTCCCATTAATAAGATTAAAAAATCGTTATGTGGCTCCTTGTGAAAGAGTTCGACCAGGAAAGTACTACCACTTATTTCTGCCCCAAAACGGTAATATAAGCATTACCAGAACATAGGTTCTGGTTTTTAACCGATTTTAAATAAGGAGGAGGTTCTCAATTCGACTGTGTTTTTTTCGTATGTATGTTACGCGATAACTCCGACATTTGTGAACCGATTTTAACGATTCTTTTTATATTGAAAGGAGATATCTGAAGTGGTAGTGGTACCATTTAGATTTGAAGAAAATATTCCACCTCTAAGGGTTGCTACCATTAGAGGTGGAATATTTTTTATTTTAATTAAACCAGGGGATGAATGACTTTTGATTTCAGTTTTTTTAGTATTCTGTACTGAGGTTATTAAGTGTAAGAATGCTGGTGAAATTAAAGGTACGTAGGTCTATTGAACTTATGTCTCAAGGTGGCACTCAGTGGCAGTGCCCCACAGATCTTTGCTGTTTAAAAGCTCTTGAGTACCACTGCAACTGATATTGATATTGAACCAATCAATTACTAATAATACCTCGTTATAATAATATATACGGTAAAAATCGACTGAGTTATCAGATACTTAAAATAATTAATTCACTACCACCAGAAATAAAAATTAACCTCACAACTAACAGCATAAAAACAAATCTTAAATCATATTTATTAAATAAACTTTGAACGTCCTGTATACGTGAATGACTGTTTTTATTGTAATACCACTCCGAAGGTATTTATCTGTTTCGCTATAATTTATCATTTTCATTCACAGGTCTTTTACTCGAGTAGTGGTTGTTTTTATGGTAGTGGGTAAGCGTACATAAGCAAACGGGTTAGCCAGTTTTGTTACGAGCTCACTTCAATGAATTGCGGTGTACGGATAAACCTATTCAGGTTTTTGTTGTACCGCTAAGTTTTAATTTATAAGTCTTTTTTTTTGTAAATTTTTTTAATAATAATAATAATAATAATAAGCGTGTCGCTTATCACCGGGCACACGACTTGTCCGTTACTTGGTATCATAAAAATCTACATTATGTACCATATAAAGTAAAACCTTAACTATCATCTGCAAACTCTCACGAAAAGTGTTTACAGTATTTTGGTATCTAAAAAGATGTCATTGTTTCGCTCGCATATTTCAAACGATATCAACTCATGCAAGCGCATTTTTCACGATATAAGCGCTCGATTGATGTATAAAAGGGAAATTCGGTATCGAGTACGTACAGTTTTCTCATGCTACGTGACAACCGGAAATTAGATGTCGTATGTCGCCTGTATCGTGTCTCGACACTATGCCAATGGCAGGGCGGTACATTGACAACGTCGTTTCCTATAATCCCACGTTTAATTTAAAGCGCATTTAATAGTCGCAGTAACTGCTGTGTTGAAGTACCTGAACCCTGTCCGACATTGAATTTCATTTTCATTTCAAAGCAACTACAACGTTTTGAAGATTATTCCGATTAAATAGCATTGGCTCGTTGTGAATAAAGTTCAAGATAAACGAAGAGCGCTAAAAAGCAGGGACAGGAATGTTGAATTACAAACACGTTTTGCGATTATTAGTTATGAATACTATCACTAACATCGTTGTTATGGTAAAAATAAGGTATACTTAATATTCAATCAAAAAACGGGCAGCCAACTTTCGTTGAATGGCTATAATGATACTTACATCATTTAATTACATTCTATATGCCGTAAAGCAATGCATAATTTTTTTTTATAAGACAAAGTGGCGGAAAGTACAAGTCAGCCGCATGGTGGCAAGCGACACCCCTGCCCATAATTGTTGCAGTGCAGTTCAAAGCTATAGATCGCAAAGATCTGAGGGGCACAGCTACAGAGTCCGTCACCCTGAGTACCTGTAACTTCACCAGCAACCTTGTCTTTCAAAACCAGAACGCAATGATGCTCACAATATTAATA